GTATTACAGGTGTGAGCCATTGGGCCTGGCTTTTTTTTTCTTGAGATGGGGTCTAACCATCTTGCCCATGCTGGACTCCAACTCCTGGGCTCAAGTGATTCTCCAACCTCAGCCTCTTGAGTAGGAGTAACCAGGACACTGGCACACTGGACAGTGGCACGGGCCACTGTACCTGTTTCCCCTCCCTACTTTAGCTACCACAGCAGCAGCTTTGTTCTGTTCTGATAGATCTCCTGTTGAGTGAAACCTGCTCCATGGTTGCTATTCTTACCGGACTCCAGTGACATCATTTTTGCTCCATGCCCCAAAGTCCCAGGAAGTCAAGTAAAAGTATCCCACTGTTGCTAATGTTCTGATGTTTCAGCGTCTCATGTTCATTGTTTTCCTTCTTTCCTCCTTTCCTTCCTTCCTTCCTTCCCTCCCTCCCTCCCTCCCCCCTCCCCTCCCTCCCCCCTCCCGCCCTCCCTTCCTTCCTTCCTTCCTTCCTTCCTCTCTTTCTTTCTTTCTTTTTTACTTTCCTTCTTTTTTTTTTTTTTGACAAGGTCTCACTTTCTTGCCCAGGCTGGAGTGCAGTGGTGTGATCTTGGCTCACTACAACCTCTGCCTCCCAAGTTCAAGTGATTCTCGTGCCTCACTCAGCCTCCCTGAGTAGCAGTGACTCCAAGTGCATGCCACCAGGCCTGGCTCATTTGTGTATTTTTAGTAGAGATAGGGTTTTGCCATGTTGGCTAGGCTGGTGTCAAACTCCTGGGCTAAAGTGATCCACCTGCCTCGGCCTGCCAAAGTGCTGGAATTACTTTGGCGTGAACCACTGTGCCCAGCCATTGTTTGTTTTCTTAATCTTGTCCACCACACACTCCTTCAAACCATCTGAGACAAATCTTGTTTTCTGTTGGAACCCTGGTTGATACCTAATGCTTGTAGAATGTCAAAGAAAATATTGAAAGATCTGCCAAATAAATGCAGAAAGGGGTATGTACTCAATCCTTGATAAATCCAGCAGGTTTTAGTTGGAGAGGCCTCAAAAAATGGTGTGGTAGGCTGAGTAATAGGCCTTAAAAGATACTCATGTCCTAATACCTGGAACCTGTGACTATTACTACATATGACAAAAAAGATCTGGCAGATGTGATTAAGTTATAGATCTCAAGACGGCAAGATTATATGGGATTATCTGGGTGAGACTTAAATGCTATAACAAATATCCTTATAAGAGGCAGGCAGAGAAAAGTTTGGCACAGAAGAAGAAGGCAATGTGACCACTGAATTAGCATGCTCCACGCTGGCTTCAAAGACGGAGGAAGGGGCCAAGAGTCAACAAATGTAAGGAATGCAGATCTAAACTCTGAAAGAGTCAAGCAAGTCAGTTCCTCCATAGAGCTCCAGAGGGAGCATGAGCCTCAAGGCACCTTGATTTGGGCCCAGTGAAATTGACTTGGACCTCTGACTTTCAACACTGTAAGAGATTAGATGTGTGTTGTGTTAAGCCACCAAGTTTCTGGTAATTTGTTACAACAGGCACAGGACACTCTCAGCAAATACCAAGGTTCAAGGCTTAGTTTTCAGGTTGCAGATTTGAAATCCAGCTCTCAGATAACATGTCCCTTTTCTTTGGGATGCACTCATGTGAACCAAGATATGTGATCAATGCATAAAATTACAATGATGATTCATCAATTTCCAATGAGATGTAGAAATCTCCTGTTGGTTGGAAGACCTGTCAAACTGACCAGTCCATTTTCTGCCTATTGACAGACAGGCTTAGGAAATAGTTTGTAATCAAGATTCCAGTATATTGATTAATAAGTAAAAATAAAATTCTAACACATAGGTGGAAATCTTAATTTCCCCAAGCACCTTCTTTTCCACCCACCGACAGACAAACGTGGAAAGATGAGTCATAACTGAAGGTAGTTTGGAGAACACTGACTCTGGACAAGGGCAGTTAGATGAATGCTTTGCTGAATGGCAACAGGATAAGACATCCTGAGACATGTCTTTGGGACCGGCGAATGCGAAGTGCTTTGGCGGGAATCCTATTGTCCACCTTCCCTCTGGGGGAAGGACTTGGCAATGTGACCAGGACAGCTGCGCTTATTTGATAAGGATCCTTCTCCCTAGTTCATGCCTGGATATTCACTGCCAAGTTAATCTCTCCGCTTGTTCTTTCTCACATGGTGACTATACATATACCCCTTTTTGGGATATGTGGATGCTTTCCTTCTAACTAAAAACAAGTCTTGCCAGCATAGGATCCATTTAGTTTCTTTAAAGTGGCATTGCATATCTCATTATGTATTGAGGTAATAAGAAATGGATTATTATATTTTCCTTCTTTTCAAGTTACGGTGGAGAAATGTACTCTAACATTTTTTCATAAACTGATAAATTTTGTATCACACAAGGGTATATATATATATAAATATATATATATAAATGTGTATATATATAAATATATATATATATATATTTAGCTGTGTTCCATATAGAAGGCAATCGATGAACATAATTTCTCATGCCTGTGTTCCCCAGATGTCTGGAGTATGGTAAGGACATGTCACAAGGTTACAATTCAGAATGGAAACCTCAGAACCTGTCATCCTCTGAAGATCTGTAACATCTCAGGGAAGCAGCAAATCCAGCATTTAGAGCTCTGTTTCTTTGTTCTTTTGATGAAACACATATTGTTCATGGAAAAAAATCTATTTTTTTTCATTTCGCTCTTGTCTGTCTACAGAGATACTTTCAGACAGAGGCAAGATTTCATTATTTCAGAGACCTGTGAGATTCTTAGTAGGCAAACACATCTTTAAAAGACAATGTTTCAGTTTTGCATGTTAATATATTGTAGAAAAAGAAAATTCAATGATAAATGTATTTCATTTAACTCAAAGGTTTATAAATCAGATTATTGTATGATAACCATCTTTTCCTCATTTATACTATAATTTCTGAGGTATACTCCAACCAAAATTGAACCCTGGAGAATAAAAATATTAGTCCTCAAGAATATAACAAACAAAATTATACAGTTAACCAAGCACTGATAATTTCATAAGAAATATCACAAATTGTCACATACAATGTTATGCTTTGGCCATAGTATAGCAGAATGAAGTGAGTTCAGATTTCAGAGCAAGACAAATCTGTATTTAAATACTGGTTCAGCATAATATCCTTCATCTCTAAAATGGGGTTGATACATAAAATCATGTAAGTATTTTGGTTCATAATTACATATTTGTTAATAACAAGAATAAAAATTATCTCATATTGGTGATGATACTGACAAACTCAGAAAATGTACAGAAGCAGAAAATTAACAATAATTTATGGGAAAACAAAAACAAAAAGCTTTTATAAAAAAATACTTTTTTTTATTTTTAAAATTTGCCATCTTTGAATAGTCTTTTTTCCTTGTACCCATCCTATTTTCCTATCTGCTGTCACTAGGAATTTTTAGTAGAAGTAGTGAATTTAGCTGTAATAGAAAAACTGTGCTATACACTGATACTTAAAGAAAGGCTTTAAAAAAATTAAGAGTCAGACAGGGAAACATGCATTTTAACATCATACGGGACTTCAAGCACTATTCCAAGTGTTCATATCAAATCACCTGATAGTGAGCTAAGTCACTATTCGGTGTTGCTTACCTACATGAAATGGAGCCCTATGATAATGGGAGAAGCAGGAGTGTTTTGTCACCCAACCTCCTAAAATGTTTGGGAAAATAGTTAATGAAAATCTTCCTTCACCCACGTATCTTTATCTCAACAAAACAGCTAACGTTTTAATATTTGCCTTCTATATTATTTGCTGCAATTTCTTCAAAACCAGAGTAAAGGCAGTTGGACAGTTTATTTTTATTGTATCCCACTTTTTAATTTGTTATACTGTGTTTTGCTTAATAGCTGAGGAAATGGAGGCTCAATTGGTTAGATAATATTCCAAGTTAATTCAGTTGAACTCTAGAGGAGTTTCCTTTCACTCAAAAATACTTGGTTCAATTATTTGTAGATGGATAAGTGGGTGGGGCAAGGAAGTGGGCAATGGATAAGAGCAGTAGACTGAAGCTACTGGAGCATAAACCGGAGGATCGCACCAGGATAAATGATTAGCATTCTTCTTGGTGCCTAGAAATAGATTATTTATGTCATAATAAATGTCACCACTGTATGAAGAGTAAAGATAATTCAGGCTACTAAGTAATATCATGAACTCCAGGCACTTCTCCTTCTGACTTCAGTGTTAAAGTGTAGATGCCCTGCAGAGTCTGTGACTTTATTAAATTGTCGATATTCTTACTACTGATGGCAACCATAACTGAAGAAACTTGCAAAATATAATTCGAAATCAGATTGAAGTTAACTAGGTAACATCGTGCATAGAGTATGTGCACATAAATTGTAGTTCATTTCCCATTCAATATAGTATGCTTGTTTTATGCATTTATTTACCTAAATTTACAATTCAGGTTTCTATACAAGATTTTTTTTTTTTGCAATCTCTATCCCATCTTCCAAATAATTCATGCTTTCCTCTGCTGTCCCTTCTTGTTCCATTCCCAGAAATCTTCTGTCTGTGAAATGTAAAGAAATAGAAATAGAAACTGTATGAGGTTATGAGATCTACTCTGGAATTAGATGGGTTTGGTTTTGAATTCTGGTCTGGCTATTTGTGAGCTATGTGACCTTTGACGAGTTACTGAGCCACAGTTTCCTTGTTATAAATTAGTAATAATAATAGAATCCACATGGTGAGATTGTCTTGGTAATTAATCATTACTCCAGTGTAAAAATGAAAGCATCATGCCTGCCATATAGTAAGCACTCAATCAATGCTAGGTCTGCTGCTGCTGCTGTTGTTATCAATGCTAAAGAAAGTGTGATTTCATAACCATGTGTCTTTCAGGTTTAAATGCTTTCACTATCTCTCTGTTTTATGTATTTTTTTATTTACTTATTCATTCAACAAATATTTTTGATGATTTATTCTTTCAGGAGGCCTCATAAGACACCAGATGACCAATTACAGGAGAATCATCAGAAAGAGAACAAGAAAGACTGAGGTAAAAATGACTAATGGTATTTTTGTGCTCCCTTCCTACTTTCCTTTGAAGGATAATTATTGATTTATCAAAAAATATACTTGCCATGAATTACATCACATGCTCTTAGAAATATGAGGTATATAGAAATGTTGGAATATAAACTGTGTTACATGGAGTCTTTTTGTTAACAGGATTTTTTCTAATTCTTTATGATTCTCTATGCCTATATGAATGCAAAGCTGTTTCATTTTATTTTGGGCCCAAATACTTTATTATAATCATAATAACAAGCCTACAATAATTTTGCAGGCTTGTTAATAGAGAGCCTACAGTTTGTTGTTTATCAAGCCAGCATTTGAGTTAGGCCTCATAAATATGCCCAGACCTGAGGCGTAAATTGTACGCTAAATAGGAAGAGAAGTCTGTGCTCTGCAGAATAGTTCACTGAAGAGAGCCTCTCTAAGCTGTGAGATTCTAAAAAAGGACTAAAAATTTGGAGACAAATCTCTCTACTCCATGCCCAACAGGATGCATCCACACAGAAAATATCCCTTTTATTAACTTCATTTTTTTTAGAACAAACTTTTCAACACACCCCTTGCCATAAGCAAGGTGGATATGACAAGGCAACCAACACTCTGACACAACAATAGAGCTCTAAGCCAAGACAGTTTTAATGTGACCTTTCATTTTCTCTAATTGCCTTTCTCTTATTAATCCTGATCTGCCTATTATTGATAGTATCATTATGCTATGCTTCTAATGACTTTGCCTGGGAGGATCAGGAGTTTTTTAAACTTTTGGAATGTTACTTAGCAGAAAACCTTGGTGGGGAAGAAAAAAATATCATAATTAAAAGTAAGTTCTCAGGCTTTCTCACTACTCTTTCTACCTAAATCCTAACCGTCTCTGAAAACATAGCTTAGCTGCTGCCTCCTCCATGAATTTTCTTTGACTGCGTTAGTCCAATGATTAGATTTTTGCTGTTACTATTCATTTGACTCAATTGATACTTTTTATGCCACTCTCATCTGTGGTACATTATTTATATAGATTGTCTTAAATCCTTCACTGAGTTGTAAGCTCTTTGAGGTTAATACTTAGGAATATGAGAATACAATGTGAATAAGCCTCATTGTCATTTCTTGTCACTTTCTTGTTACTTTCTCAATAAGCCTCATTTTCATTGTATTCTCATGTTTCTAAACACTATTATCTCTGCCAATAGTAAATTTTACATAAACATATTGATAATATTAATGCCACTTTATATTTGTGCTATTTGTTGGGTTTTACAAAATATTTTCATGTATATGATCTTTTAAATTCTCCCCACTGTCCTGTGTGTGAGGTGTCTACTCTAATTTTATAGATGAAAAGGTAGAATCAAATGAAAATTTAAGTTATTTATCAAAGTCAAAACATATCATAGAATTTATTGATTACTAATTAGGAAGATTTCAGTATTGTTGTTATCGCAACTCTGACTTTATTGTGATTAATTTAGTAAAGTAGAAATAAACTCACAAAATTTTTTCACTTTGGAAAAAACGAACACGGATAAAGGCTCTCAGATGAACAGGGACAGGTTACATATGACTCATTATCTCTGGATATGCATATGCTATTCCCCCAGTAGGAATAAAAAAGAGGAGGCAAAAGCAAGGTTACTGCTTCCACATGCATTACTTTTATGTGAATTAAAAAGATGTTTCTCTTCTGGGTAGTGCAGCGCTGAGTTGATGGTGCATTGAGCCATTTGCCTCCCGCGCAGCACCTTGGACAGCACTAGCCTGTTCAAATGCACTGCCGTCCGGTGTAAATGCTGGGAAATACAAGGCTGTGGAAGGGATTATATGGTCCAGTGCGGGTACTGGCTTAGAAGGAATAAATAATACTGGACCAGTGTATTGAGAGGGTCAATTAAGAAAGGAGTATAAGCTAACAGATACCTTTAGAAGTACTCCTTTTTTGGCATGGCAATCATTGTTATGGTTCTTTAGACCCATGTACTCTGGAAAAATAATTTTTCATAGTAAACAGAGAACAGAATTTAGGAAAGTTGATTTTATTTTTGGTTCATCTCAAGAGACATAAGCTCTTAAGATATCCAAAATCTTTCAGTATATGAGTTATTTTAATCCATGTGCCATCCCATTCTTGAAGGTACATTTGAGAATCTAAAAAAAGGGAAGTCATCCTCTCTCCAGAAAAATAAATAACACACGTACATAACTATTTCACAATTAGTTTTAGTGGTTACATGGGTGCATTTTAGGGTTTAGTGGGTCTGTTTCCAAACCTGGCTAGTTGTCCAATTATTTGAGGTCCTTTCAAACATGCAGATTACTTGCCTCCACCACAGCAGATTCTAATTAATGAATTTGATAATAAGCCTAATATATTTGAATTATACTCTTACATACAAGGTGAGACCGAAGGAAGAAAAAGTCAACCAAGAAGAAGAAGTGACAAGTAAAGTAGTTAAAGGCTGTTTTTATGCTGCCAAGCATAAACCAGAGACAAATGTAGCTATTTGAAAAATATACCTCAAGAGTGATTTTATCACTAAAATATTTCTCTTATTTTGTCTATAATAGTCATAAAATAAAGTAGATAATGCAAAGTAATGGGCAGAGGAAGGGTTTTTAGAGTATAGTGTGTAGAGGAAGGGCTTGCAGGAGGTAGCACAGAGGGGAAGGGTCTCTTTTCACAGTTGGTAACTCCCAGAGAATCCCTGGTAGTATGACCAACCTGGAGACACAAAACTTCTAGAAGATGATGTTGTGTTTTCACTTTGTTGGTGTGAATAGTTAAGTGAAAATATCCAACTCATTTTAGGTGAGGAAGTGATTAATCAGTCATAAAAAATGATCAGTAATAATGAAGTTATAAGCAATATTCTCTGATGAAATCCACTCCCACCACAAAAAAAAAAAAAAATCTTGAAAAAAAGTTAACAGATTTGCATTGGGATGTTTTGAAATATTGAAAAAGTTTTATTCATGAATTTTCACTGGGGAAACAAAATATACCATTTGTAAGAACTGATTATTTTCTGCCTCACACAAAGAAAAGAGTATTGGGCTAAACATTACATCTAAAAGGATCCTTTGGGGGCAAAATCCCTATCACCAAGCATTGATTCCCTTCCTCTCTTCTGGTTTAGTACCAACTACAGAGATTAAATTTTGGTTTCTAATATTAATTAATATAGCAAATGCAACAGATTTACACGTTGATGAAAATAATATGTAGGGAATTGTTTTTCTGTCAGCAGAACTTTCCCCTAATTTGTTCCTCTTAAATTTAACTTGTTAAGAAAAAAATTGTAGAGGTGTTTTATAGCAGAGTGAGGACGACAAGGAAACTCATTAACACACTTACATGTCAACTGTTGGAGTTGCAGAGTATTATGGGGAATATGAATCTGAAGAGATCATGTATCTCGATTCTTGTTCTGTGTACCTGAGGCATCTTATTTCTCCTCTAAGAGCCGCAGTTTTTATGTCTGCACATGAAGAACGGTTTTTGTGTGTGTGGTGGGAAGTACCCCAAATCCTGGAATCAAATGTTTATTTATTAAACATTAGCTGAGTGCCTACTATATTAAATATGATGATAGACCCTGGATATCTAGATGTGATTATGACTCAGCTTTCAAAAAAATGCCTGGAGCCTAGTTGAGCAGAGAGATAATAATTAAAGAAATTACAGGATAGTGTGATAAGGGGAAGGAAACAGAAGCAAGTGAAATATGCATGAATCCATGAGAATCACGGCTTGGGGACTATGTGATGTCTAAAATTTTTTCAACTATTTTTTAAGATGGATCTTTATTTAGGACTTGATGGCAGATAGGAAAAGGGCTCAAAAATGTGGCAGGGAACTAGAGCTCAAATTGGTGGGAAACATTGCAAATCTTTGGATAAAATGAAACTCTAACATTTGTTTCACTGTTGTGGTCTAAGCCTTCCTACCTCCCCGATCGTTTAGTAAAGTCTGTTCTGTGCACACAAGCCTTGTGCAGTGGTTGTAGAAATCAAGGGAAAGCAGCCAAGTTGTAAGTCTGAGGTGACATGAAACAGTGATAAAATGAACATCAGAATTATACCAAAATAGAGTATTAAATTCAGAGGTGACCAGAAGAATTGTAAACCTGTGGGAATTTAAAGAAATCTCATGCTGGGTTGTTATGGATTTTTTACAAAAGAAATAACAAAAACTGTGCTGGATTTTTCCCCCATTGAAAAAAATCCACCTGGAATCACTCTTTATGCTGCTTCTCCAGCTGACCTTTATGGACTTTATCAGAGGGTTCTCTTGTCCCGTGGTTCCTATTTGTTTGGGGCAAAAGGAAGCACTAGCAGGGAATGAGAGCAAGGAGGAAAATGAAGTGGGAATATTAGTTGTCTACCTCCATTTCTGCAGAGTTGCTATGGGCTGGTTGCCTACCTCCACCAAAGGTTGCAGCTCAGTAGCCCTTTTCCTTCTGTCCCATGACTTCTTCAGCCCTAAGAATGATAATAGCTCACTTGCAATTATTAGCCCCAGGGCACTTCTCTGCTTATTTTGATTTTCTTTGCAAATTTCCTCACTTTAAAAATGAACACTTCTTATATTACCCACTTTGTGTGAAACAATTGTCTACTTTTGGAAGCATAACTAATATAGATATTAAATCACTCACTTAGGCCACAGCTAAATACTGATAGGAAATCTGGACACACACACACACACACACACACACACACACATTATTTAGAGACAACTAAGAAATAGCAGTAGTTGGTGTTTCAACAGTAAGTTAAAGAATAACACTAACACAGGCACTACAGTGAGTTCTGTGAAGTTTTTGGTAAATAAAATCATAGACATTTTTGCCAAAGGAAATTTAGTCAAATAAGCTTATTTTGCAGGTGACAAACTTAGATTTTCCAAGAGACTAACTTGCTTGTTAACTCTTTTTTTATTTTTATTTTTTCAACTTTTATTTTAGGTATGGGGCACATGTACAGGTT